GGCCTCAATGGCCTGAGCCACACTGATCTGAAGCCAGGAGCCAGCAGCCAGGAGCCAGGAGCTTCTTCCAGGTCTCCCACATGGGTGCAGGGGCCCAAGGACTTGGGCCATCTTCTACTGCTTTCCCAGGCTGCAGTAGAAAGCAGGTTCAGAAGCAGAACAGCCAGAACTAGAACCAGTACCCATATGGGATGCTGGTGCTGCAGGTGGAAGCTTTACTGGCTACACCACAGCGCCGGCCCCTCCTATTTTTATTTAGTTATTTATCCATAGTGTCCTTTTTAGTGTTTTGAGTATATTAAGATTTAGTTTGGGGCCAGCGTTGTTGCACAGAGGATTGGGCCACCACCTATAATGCTGGCATCTCATTTGGGCACCAGCTTCTGGCTTCTCCTCTCCTGATCCAGCTCCTGGCTAAAGCACCTTGGAAAGCAGTGGAAGGTGACCGCTACCACCCATGAAGGAAAACCAGATGGAATTCCAAGCTACTGGCTTTCACTTTACTCAGCCCCAGCTGTTGTGGCCATTTAGGAAGTGAACCAGTAGATGAAAGATCTCTCTCTCTCTCTCTCTCTTTTTCTCTCTCTCCCTTTATCTCTGTAATTATGCCTTTCAAATAAATAAATAAATAAATCTTAAAAAAGAGAGAGATTTAGTCTAGAAAATCCAGCATCACTGCTTCCAGATAATTTCTGTAAAACTCTCCTATGAAAAGCTCATGCATGTTTATGTTTTCATACTCTATGATCTTTTGTTTAAACATAAGCATTTTGAAGATTATGTGATAACTCTTGACATAGTATGATGTAGTAACCACGTCATCATGGTTCTCTTTTATTGTTGCTACTTGAGTATGACATAGATGTTTTGTTAGTGACTTATGAACTATTTTCATAAACAGCACTTTCTTTGTCATTTGTGATCACTAAAATCTCTAGTCCTAGAACTTTTGGTCAGTTAATGTTTTGACAGATTACCTTGAACTCCTGGAGTCAAAACAAAACAAAACACTCTCCAGGTTTTGACAGACTGGTTCTGGATTGGGGCACCCCTTCACCATGCAGCCAGGTTGGCCACATTTTCTTAGCCTTCACACTCTGCTTTTGCTGAAGGTAAGATCAGCCAGAGGTGAAAGTTTAGTCTTCTCAATGTCTTTTCTGAACATGCATCCTGGCCTAGGTACGTGTCTGGTTTTCTAAGTCTCAAATTTACCCTGAAACTTTATGGAAATCTCTTCTTGGGATTTTCTGCTAGGTACAGCACATTTTGTCATTTGCTGCAACCATAATCTTTATGTAGGATACTCTGGATAGAAGCAGATTGTTCAATTGCCATTTTTTGTTTGTTTGTTTGTGGAGAAATATTCTCTGTAAAGTCACTTCTCTGTGCTGAGGGAATTCTAAGTTAAGGAAAACAAAGGCAAGTTACTTATATCAATCCTTCAAGTAGCCCTCAGGTAATAAAGACAGAGAAACAGAATTATTTGAGAGTGAGGTCTGCTCTTCTCTCTAGAACTAAGTTGGTTGGTGTAGTTTTGATTATTTTTTTAGAATTCTGACAAAATTGATTATGAGTTATTTTTGTTTCTGCTTTTTGTGGTTTGATTGCTGAATGAGTCTTTAGAGCTTCCTGTGCTGCCATTTCTCCTGATACCACATCTTGTTTAAGTTTTAATTGCATGTTTCTTTCTTTAAAAAAAAAAAGATTTATTTATTTATTTGAAAGTCAGAGTTACACAGAGAGAGAGGAGAGGCAGAGAGAGAGAAATCTTCCATCCTATGGTTCACTCCTCAGTTGGCCTCAATAGCCAGAGCTGCGCCGATCCAAAGCCAGGAGTCAGGAGCTTCTTCCAGGTCTCCCACGTGGGTGCAGGGGCCCAAACACTTGAGCCATCTTCTACTGCTATCCCAGGCCATAGCAGAGAGCTGGATCAAAAGTGGAGCAGACGGGTCTCGAACCGGTGCCCATATGGGATGCCGGCGCTTCAGGACAGGGCATTAACCCGCTGCACCACAGCACCGGCCTCTAATTGCATATTTCTTATTTAGACTAATGACTGGCTAGAATGAAGTCTGTATATTCCACCCTTTCCTGTAGCTAAGTCTAGAGTGATGATTAAATTCTGTCTAGTGTCATGTTTCCAGTACTTAGGAGAGCTGTTCTGAGTTCTGCTCTTTAACGAAGGAGGTGTACCTCTCTTATTTCCTTCTTTCATCCATTCCACGCCTGTAATGTGGATATGAGGCCCTGTAAAGTGGTACCAGGGAAAATGAGGGCAATTTCCTAGTGTGAGGTGACAGTCCAGGAAGTACTGAGTCCCTAGAAATCTTCATGGGGGAGATCTCCAAACAGACTCTAACGTCTACTTTTTTTTCATTACAGGAGAGGACTTTCTCATTTAAGCCATCTTATGTGTCCTTTTGCACACAACATATCCTATATTCCAACTAACATGAAGAACCACTGAGGATTATTTTGATTGGCAGTAAACATTAACTTTAGAAGATAAGAGTGCTCAACAGGCCAGCACCGCGGCTCAATGGGCTAATCCTCCTCCTGCAGCACCAGCACACTGGGTTCTAGTCCTGGTCGGAGCACCGGATTCTGTCTCTGTTGCTCCTCTTCCAGTCCAGCTCTCTGCTGTGGCCCGGGAGTGCAGTGGAGGATGGCCCAAGTGCTTGGGCCCTGCACCCCCATGGGAAACCAGGAGAAGCACCTGGCTTCTGGCTTCGGATCAGTGTGATGTGCCAGCCACAGTGTGCCAGCTGCAGCGGCCATTGGAGTGGGAACCAATGGCAAAAAGGAAGACCTTTCTCTCTCTCTCTCTCTCTCTCTCTCTCTAACTATCCACTCTGCCCGAAAAAAAAAAAAAAAAAAAAAAAAAAAAAAAAAAACGCTCAACAGCTGAATAATCCAGTGAAAGCAACATGCAAAATATAAATACAACTGCTCATGATTTTGGTGAATATCTCTGATGACCTATTATTATGGAGGAAAAGTACAGGAAAAATAAGAAGAAAAATCCTTGTGATAGGGATATTACTTTTTCTTTAAAATTCACAGGTTTTTAAAAGGATCTAAGTTATTTGTATTGCTGAGGTAGCATAATGAATTTGGAGGTAAAGAATCGAGGTTAATATTAAATTGTCATATAACAAAAGAAGAAGGAAGATACAGGTGGCATAGAAGGTTGGAGTCAGTAAAGTTTACAGAGAGAGACTGGAAAGTTGAGAGTTAGTGACCAAAAATTAATCTAAGAAGATATGGACACTGAGGATTATGGAAAAAACAGTACATGCTGTATAATGTAACTTCTATCTTCTCACTTAATCTTAGGTGAAATCAAAATGGCTCACCAGTATTATAAAAATCACAAATGCTGTTTGATTATACAAAAAAAGTTAGATTCTGATTCAATGTTGGCCTAAGTTGTGGGAAAACAGATACCCTAGAGAGGTTAAGCGACATTTGAATTATAAAATATATCATACAATGTTATAAGTACTAGGAATACAAATGTAAACAAGACTAGAATATCCATCCTATGAGACCGCACAGCATGCAAAAATGAAGTACACTGATGAAATGATGTCATGAGTATTGGATACATAAAGGACACTAATATGGCTCAGGTGAGAGAAAAACTAAGTCTGGTGGCAGAGGGAAGGAGGAAGTATTGTTATTATTTTAGGAGGAAGCACCTCTGTAGCTGCAGGATGGGAGTCCTCAGGGAGTGAAGGGAAGAATGGCAATGCACAAGTAGAAAGAGGAATAAACCAGCCTGTTACATGAGAGGCTCACAAATGGATGATCATTGTGAGATTGCAGAATATTGAAAGGAAATTAAAAGGAGATGCAATGGTAAAATTATTCGCTATTTCAACCATCCATAGGACTTTTAAATCCTCTTCCAGGTGGTGGAATTTAAAGCGGAGGAATCTGTTGTATGTACTCTGTCACTCTTTCAAATGTAGTTAAAATATATAAAAATAAAATATATGAAGTACTCTATTTTGGGGGTAAAATAAATGAATATTATACAGAATATTGTGTGTCGGAGAGGAGAAAGGAAGATTCATTCCAGCAGCATTTTCTTAGATAAAAACAAGTAAGAGATAGGGAGACATGTAAGCATCTGCTGAAAGAACTTTCAAAGGAGGAGAGAAAGGGTCAGTGACTTAGGGAGCACTTGATTGTAGGTTATATTTTAACCTATGTTAAAAATTCATAGAACTTAAAGAATTAAGTATTTCTGGAATGTTTTTACACAAAGGAATACTTCCACTACATATATCACACCCTAATTCTTATTTCTTACAAACTCTACTGTCAATTATTTTAGTTGATTCCTTTTATTTTCTCTTGTACTTTGTACCTGCATTTGCCTCCATGGTCTTTGTTAGACTTTTCCTATGCACTATTTTTGTTTTATTTTCTTCACAACTATTTTGCTCCTTTTCAACTTTTAATAATTCTAATACTATTTTCCTTTTTCTAACTTTTCTTTCTTCCTGTTCTTATGTTTGTCAAGTTAGTCCAACAATTTTACTTTTCTAATGAAGGAAAAGCTATGTTTTTTTTATAATGACAATACTTATTTGATTTCATCAACATCAGTATTATCTAATAGAAATAATAAATACATAATGCACATAGAATGCATCTCTAATACATTTAAAGATTTCTGAGAGAAGAATGTCTCTTCCTCAATTGCTTCTTCATTAAAGCCAGCAAGTCTGTCTTATTCATCTATATCACTAGCACCTATTTTCAAGGTTAGTAGACAATAGCTATTTGAAATCTTTTACACAACCGTTTTAATAATCTTAGAGAGAAGAGCAAAATGTTAGCACAGTGACAAGCCCTGGCTACATCAACTTAAACACAATTACAACATGGATTTTTCTTTTCATGGCTGTCTTTCATGTCAAATCTTGACATTCAAAGTGAAATTATATTTAACAAAAGCCCAATAGCACTATTAAGCTTCCTGACAGAGGTTTTTTTTTTTTACACTGTGTTACCTACTTGAGTTGCGTTCACAAATACAGTACAATACATGCCAGGTTCTGTTGCTGCATTCAGGTGCCAGAAAGAGTGCTCACAAAATAGTGTGATGAGTGCTGTGAGAGACTAGTGAACAAGAAAGGTGGAAGCCATTGATTTTCCTCAGGGAGTTTCAGCCAGTTCCAGAGAGGTAGTGAGTTTTGATCTGATTCTGAAAGTGCGAGTGATGACAGCCGATTCTGTGAGCCATGCTGTCTAACACAATCATTACAACAGAAGTGACAGGCAGTCACAGGTTTTAGTAAAGCAAGTAATACATTTTTAATAAAATACTTGCTATTTTCTTTGCAGTGTGAAGAAATATGGACAATGAGAAACATGCCACCTAGAGATAAGAGCAATTTAAACTGAGCCCACTCATTGTGGGAGCATTTAATTCAAAATCTTCACATAATTTCCTTTTATTTAAACCATTATTAAGAAATATCCTCCAGCTTATCACATGTGAATTTTAAGTCTCAGTAGTATTAGCTTTGAAACACACATAGCGCTTCTGGGATTATATTAATTTAGGCAGTAGTACCTGTTAGTGAGCATTTGATGGCTCATAGTGCAGAAGGATTTACTCATGTTATTGATTTGTTGGCAAAAATATTGTGAGAAAATCCCCTGATATTGCTGGTAGTTGTGCATTCTAAATTTTATTGGATTTGTGAGCCATTTTCCTCTGTGTTTAAACTTGTGATATCTTTCTATAAATAGAACAACCCAGGTGTTAACTGCAAAGGCGTACTCACTGTTATGCAGCTGCTCCCTCCGCTTATGTCTCTGATGCTCAGTGATAACAAGTACTTGGATTCCTTTTGTTTTAATTTTGTTTTGCCATTTCCAAATCAGTCAATAGAAGAGAAAGTGCAAAACATATTTTAAGTTATCTCAGCATAGATAACACCTTGGTATCTGAAAAACAGAAAGACAAAGATTATGGACTCAGTTTTCTAGGTGAGAAAATTTTCATTACAAATAGATTGTCTCAGATTTTTTTAGGAAAATATGACAATTGGATTAATACTGATTACAGTTTTATTTTCAAACACAGCCTTGTATGTGTACATTTTCCACATACTCTAGAAACGGCCAAATCTTCACAAAACCTGTTTTGATAAATGGCATACTGGAGACTATTTATTGCCTACTTCTAATTTACAGCTGCTGTTATTTTACAGCATTGAAATAATCTTTATTCAAAATTAAGGGCCCAAACTTGTCAAAGCCTAAGGCAGCTAGCATTTACAATTTAGTGATCATGGCATTAGAAATAGAATTTACTTAACCTTTGAAGTGTCCTTGGACATATAGATTAAGTCCACAGAAATGTCAATCTCTGGATCTCATGAGAGAACACTGCCTCTCAGGGTGAAACAGTTACTGAGGAGAGAAAGGAAAAGGAAATAAAATATTACCTCAGCACAAGAAAGAGTCATCTGTTAGTATTTTTAAGACATCAATACATACATATCTTTTACATTGTTTTTATATCGATATATCTTAATAGTTTAATGACTGTGATAGTACATTCCACCTCCAACATATATTTCTTTTCTATTGCAATACTTTATCCCTCTGGCAATAGAAGTAACTTCCTCCTATGGGAGGAATATTTGAGAAGAAAGAAGACATCACTGAGAAAGTAGAAACTTGAATATTAGAAGCCATGGGTTCAGAAAGTAAAAATATAATAGGAAAGATGAGAAATTAGACTTAAAGCAATCCAAGATAGATGAATAGGACGTAGTGACACTGACTTAAGCTGATCTGGAATATGAAAAAAACAAAGGACTACATTTCCAAGTACTGATGGAAATTTTTCATGAAGAAGTAAAAAAACAAACAAAAAGCAACGAAAACTCCTTAGGCCATGAGGACAAGACCACTGCAGCCAGCCACAAGTTGCAGCCAGCTGCTGGCTGTGAGCCACCATCTTACTATGTCAAAGTAGGAAGAAATTTCCATGCACCCCACCACTCAGAGTTTTAGATGAGGGGAAATTCCATAGTCAGGCAGTAACTTTTACTCCATCCTGGAGAGTTTACTGGGGTCTGAGCAACTGCTGGGCTTGGAGTAGGAATGCTACCTTGCTTCTTTCCCCTTACTCACTCCCGGAGAGTTCATTCCCTGTCACAGAAAGTCACATAGTGTGCCTTTGTTCTCCTCCTGGCATCAAATTAAGAGTAAGTGCAGGGGCCGGCGCCGCAGCTCACTAGGTTAATCCTCCACCTTGCGGCGCTGGCACACCGGGTTCTAGTCCCGGTCAGGGTGCCGTATTCTGTCCGGTTGCCCCTCTTCCAGGCCAGCTCTCTGCTGTGGCCAGGGAGTGCAGTGGAGGATGGCCCAAGTGCTTGGGCCCTGCACCCCATGGGAGACCAGGATAAACCTGGCTCCTGCCATCGGATCAGCGTGGTGAGCCGGCCGCAGCGCGCCGGCCGTGGCGGCCATTGGAGGGTGAATCAACGGCAAAGGAAGACCTTTCTCTCTGTCTCTCTCTCTCACTGTCCACTCTGCCTGTCAAAAAAAAAAAAAAAAAAGAGTCAGTGCAATGTGTTGAGCAAAGGGGAGCTCTCGTGCCTGCATCCTACAATTGTGAGAGCTCTGGGGCATCAGCCCCTGAGTTACGCTTGCACACTCTGTGTGAGCAAGGAGGATTCACCTTAGTTTCTGGGGGCTGACACCAGAAATGGCACATAATAAACATACTCCCACCCTGAGAGATCCTGGAAATGAAACCAATATACCCTGCAACACCACGACTGTAACAATCAGTTTTAAATTGTTTGTTGCTACTGGAATCTACTCAGTGGCCCTAGGGAAGAACATACCTGCATTCCACCTCTCTGGACACATACCCTCCCAAGCAAAATATCCTGTATACCTTGTAGTCACCCTGCAAAATGAATAGGGTTCAACTCACACTCTCTTATCCTAGGACTAGGGCTGTTGGTATTATAAGCCACAGCACCAGTTGGACTCTCCTAGCAGGACCTGAAGAAGGTTTAACCATATCACACAATTCATAGAGCCACAGCAACTGGCCAGAAGCCCTGGCATCACTCAGGTTTGCCATTAGGACAAGGATGCAGCCACTCTTCTCCTTCAGTACCAAAAACAAGGCTCTGGTTATCACAGTCACCAGTGAGACTGACATTGAACTCTTTGTGAATTAAAGATGCATGCCCAAGAAAATCCTTATTTATCTCAAAGCCACACTTCAGTCCTGAGGAACTACAGCAGACTAGTCCACTGTGTCACTTATAGACACAGCTACCGTTGATTAAGACAAAAGAAATCACTCAGAGACTACAATCCTGGGCTCACCCAGAATCAAAGTCAAAGTGACAAGCCAAGTGATACCCTGCATTCTGGCTAAACCACAAACTCTTTTACAATAAAACCTATTCCACAAGGAAGAAGAAACGAGTACACCATGTGGACAAACATCAGTGTAGGAACACAGAGGACATGAAGAAGCAAAGCAATATGACCCCTCAAAAAGAACACGGTACTCCTCTGGAATTCTATCCTGACTTGAAGGAAATCTATGAAATGACAGGTATAGAATTGAAAATAGTGATTGTAAGGGAACTCAATGAGATGCAAGAGAATACAGATAGATTAAGGAAATGAGGAAATCAATAAATGACATAAATGGAAACATTACTAAGGAGATAAAACTCATTAAGAAGAACCAAATAGAAATTTTGAAGATGAAATCTTTAGTCAGTGAAGTAAAAAATATGATTGAGAACTTTAACAGTATAATAAACCAAGTGGAGGAAATAATTTCTGACCTTGAGGAGGATTTTGAAGTAACCCAATCAGACAAAAATAAAGAGAAAATAATTTGAAAGAAAGAAGAAAGTATATGTTAATTAGAAGATACCATTAAATGACTAAATATACATATTATATATATATCCCTGATGGAAAAGAAAAAGAAAAGGGCATTGAGAACCTGTTAAATGGAACAATAGCTGCATATTTCCCAAGTCTTGAAAGAGATACAGATATCCAGACACAAGAAGCTCAACCAGAAAAGCTCTCCAAGGCATATTGTCATCAAATTTTCAAAAGTTAAAGACAAACAGATAATCCTAAAGAGAGTAAGAGAAAAGCATCAAGCTACATATAATAGTAAACTAATTTGATTAACATCAGTCTTCTTAGCAGAAACCCAACAGGCCAGAAGAGAGTGGGACGATATATTCAAGATTGTAAAAAAAAAAAAAAAAAAAAAAAAAAAAAAAAAGAATATTATATTCAGTGATACTATTCTTTAAAAGCGAAGGAAAAATAGAATTTTTTTTTTTTGGACAGGCAGAGTTAGACAGTGAGAGAGAGAGAGAGTCAGAGAGTCAGATAAAAAGGTCTTCCTTCCCTTGGTTCACCCCCCAAATGGCTGCTACAGCTGGCGTGCTGCACCGATACAAAGCCAGGAGCCAGGTGCTTCCTCCTGGTCTCCCATGCGGTGCAGGGCCCAAGCACTTGGGCATCCTCCACTGCCTTCCCAGGCTAAGCAGAGAGCTGGCCTGGAAGAGGGGCAACCAGGATAGAATCCAGAGCCCCAACTGGGACTAGAACCCGGGGTGCCAGCACCACAGGGGGAGGATTAGCCTAGTGAGCTGTGGCACCGGCCAAGAATATTTTCAGATTAACAAAAGCAGAGAGAATTCACCAACAACAGACTGGCCTTACATAAAACTCTGAAGGACATCCTGCGTTAGATGAAAACACGTGACATCACCAAATTCACTAATAGAGAAGGTAGAATCATTATCGAGTCAATAAAATGAAACGCCTTAGTTCATATCTATCAATCCTAACTTTGAATGTAATTGGATTAAATTCACCAACCAAAATACTTAGGTTGGCTGAATGGAAAAAAAGAAGGATACTATATTTTGATAAAAATTTCAACTTGGCAAGAAGACATGCTAGTAGAAAGAGAGGAGCTAAGACATGAATCAGGATCTCCGATTTGGAATGGCGGTGGGGTTGCTCAGGGCTCTCTGGGGTCCGCTCTCCGCTCCCGCTACCGATTGAACTCGATGTCTATACTTTTATAAGAAAAAATGACTAAGAAAAAAACTGGCAAGAAAAAACAAATAGACAGAACAAAATATGAAGATTATTCCATCAACACCAGAAGAATACACATTCTCAAGAATACACATAGATTCCCTGCGATAGATCATATGTTAAGCCACAAAATGACCCTTAAAATCAAGATAAATGTCATATCCAAAGTCTTTTCTGATCACAGTGATCTAAAACTGGAAAAGTAGACAGTAAGAAAGCTGGAAAAAATTATAAATATGTGAAAATTAAGCAGCATATTTCTGAACACGAGTGGATCAAAGAGGAAATCAAAAGGAAGTTTTTAAAAAATCTTGAAACACGCCAGCGCCGTGGCTCACTAGGCTAATCCTCCACCTAGCGGCACCAGCACACCGGGTTCTAGTCCCAGTCGGGGCGCCGGATTCTGTCCCGGTTGCCCCTCTTCCAGGCCAGCTCTCTGCTGTGGCCAGGGAGTGCAGTGGAGGATGGCCCAGGTGCTTGGGCCCTGCGGAAAAGCACCTGGCTCCTGGCTCCTGCCATTGGATCAGCGCGGTGCGCCATTGGAGGGTGAACCAATGGCAAAGGAAGACCTTTCTCTCTGTCTCTCTCTCTCACTGTCCACTCTGCCTGTCAAAAAAAAAAAAAAAAATCTTGAAACAAATAAAGTGAAAGTACAATATACAAAAACCTAATGGATGTAGCCAAAGCAGTATGACAGAAAAATTTTATAGTGATAAACATCTCTGTTTTGTTTAATCTACTAATTAAGATGCCCGCATCCCAGTGTTCTAGTACCTAGGTTAAATTCCTGGCTCCAGCTCCTGACTCCAGCTTCTTGCAAATACAGACCCTCAGAGGCAGCAGTGATGACTCATATAATTGGGTTCCTTCCACCTATCTGGGTAAGATTGCATTCCTGGCTCTGGCTTTAGCCTCAGTCATTGCATTGTGGGAATTGTGAACAAGAAGACGAGAGCTCTCTTTTGCTATTCTTCTCTACCTCCCTCTGAAATATTTTTTAAAGAAAGAAGAAGATTCTGAAATATACATGTAATTTTATATCCCAAGATCTAGAAAAAGAATAGGTGAATATTGTGGAAAGATGAGGTTTCTCCTCAGTCCAATTAGAATGGCTTTCATGCAGAAATCAACAAACAAGAAATGCTAGTGAGTATGTGGGAGAAAAATGTACCCTAATTCACTGTTAAACTGGTGCAACCACTGTGGAAGATAGTATGGAGATACTTTAGAAATCTGAATATAGACCTACCATATGTTCCAGCCTTCCTGCACCTAGAAATTTAACCAAATGAAAA